GGTCCGTATTTCTTCGCGTTTTGCGAAATTCAAATTAACGCAAATAGGATGTCTAGAATATGAACATGGAAATGAGTAATTATTTTATTACATAAATAACTGTGTAATATATGAATCCCATTCATTCGTGAAATGCGACAATCGCGTACTTGTATCGTAACAGGATAAAATCTCGCGCGCGTATTCGTTCGAACAGATTATATTACTCGCGTAATAATACAATGAAAATATCGAGACAAACGCGATTTAATGTCGCACAATATTAATTTATTCATATTAAATATGAAATTTTCAAATGGAAGCGAGTTATTTCATTTCTATTTGATATATATATTAACGTAGCACAAACAATTCTTGCCGCTGTTGCCTTTACTACGCCGAGGTCACGTGACGTCACGCGCCGGCGCGGTGGCGTATTGCGCTACTTATATTACTCGCGTAATAATACAACAAAAATATCGAGACAAACGCGACGTAGTTTCAATATTAATATGATCATATTAGGTATGAAATTTTCAAGTCGAAATGAGATATTTCGTTTTAATTTAATATACATATTTACGCATGTGGCTGCCGCCGTCAACATATCGTACTAGCGCGATCTTCTTGCTACGCTATATTTGTCCGCGCTGTGTTCCGAATCAAACGTTTCGTATTTCTTGCGTTTCAAATTCAAATTGCAGATACGGTATCTAAAGTACTGAATGTGGACAGATTGTTTTATTGCGTAAGTAATAAGTGCAGTGAGTAAATATAATCCCATTCGTTTATAAATTGTTACTTTATATAATTTTCGTACCTGTTGCGTCGCGGCAAGTTAAATTCTCTCGTGTACGTGGCTCGCGTAATGTCGGGAGTACCGAATAAAGTGCGATCGTTGTTAATGTGTATGTGGTTCGAGAAAGCTGTCAATAAAATTTTATTGGGAAGCAGAACTCGGTGAGTGCATTAATTACTATTTACTACATATTTCTCCGATCTAAAATAAAATTATATTTTGTTAGGTTTGATATTTAAAATAAGTAAAAAGCATTATGTTATTTAAATAATTATAATGATACTATATTATAATTGAACAAAATATTCGTATTAAATGTTTTACTTCTTAACTTAGTAATTTTTTGATACATTTAAAATAAAAAATTAATTGAAGTAGCATGTAATTTTAACATTTTAAAGATTTAAAAAATATAATAAGTTATTTTTTATTAATCTTACATATTCTAAAATCAAAAGTATTTGTTCAATAAATAATAATTGCATTTCCAAAAAAGAAAATGGATGCCACAGCATAGGTTGAGTGAATTAATTGATATTTAAGGTAATAATTGTTATGTATTATTTGCATTAGCGTATTGTATAGTTTGTATTGCGTCATAGTTTTGTTACATTAACATAATCTGAGAAATATGTTGCTTAAAAAATCTTTACATATGTGAAATTTATTTCTTAAATGAGATATCCAAATTTTTAAGAATATATTTTGATTTCCATTTAATGTGCAAGATATGTAATATTTATATAGAAAATATAGTGAAAATTTATTGTATAAAGATTTTTTCTCATTAACGTTCTTATTTTTTTCTTTGAAAATTAAAAATTCAAAGTAACAAATTTAACGCAACTTGCTATTTACATTACGTTGATTAATATGAAACTAAATACTGTGAATTTTATCCAGAGAATTTATTTGTTTATTGTTTGTTGTTTTGCAATCTGTACAGAAAAGAATAAGGAACACTGTTGTGAATGAAAGAGTCACGGACACGCATAGTATAAATTTTTCAAAATTATTTTTACTAAAGAAACATATTTGCCTATAGTAACATTTGCCTGTAGTAATGAATACACACGAATAAAAGTGGAATTAAGTCATACAAGATTAGCTTCTCTCTCTCTCTCTCTCTCTCGTGCGCGTGCGCGCGCGCGCGTGTGTATGCTTTGCATATACACATAACATACATCACACGAGTTTATTTATTTTATACTAATATTATAATTGAGAATCTTCGGCAATTGTTATAGATATAGATTATAGAGCGTAATATGTAATGTTGATACGCGAATACAATACAAATTACAAACGACAGATTCTAGTTCACAGTGAGCATTCAGTTTTATTCAATAAGAAAAGTTTAATAATAAAATATTTCAAAATTTTGGAACAAAAATATAAAAATATTATCGTATTTTACGTTAATATTATTAAAAAATTTTGAATACGTAAAAAAATCTTTTCTTTCTTTATATTTCTTTATATTATCCTTTTTCTTTATATGTGTGTATATTTAAATAGATTTTTTTTGACTCTCTGAGATTGTCATATTCTTTATTTATCTCAGCTCTCTGAAAATCTACATTTGTAAATTCTTAGGTTTTTGTTTTTGTGATTTATCGAATTTAATTTTTTAATATAAGCTTAATTGTGCAAAGTTGTAGATTTCTAAAATAATTACTTTTATATATTCTCAAATTTTATTATTTAAGTTAAATTTGCTTAACTGTGAATTTCGTGAAGATATTTTTAATATTTTTATTTTTATGAATTTTTACGACATGAATTCATTATAAACCGTTAAATTAAAAGAATTATAGAATACTTCCCTCCAGACTTGAATTTTCGCTTACATCTCGTACATTTTCTTTTCCACTGTCATGATCATAGCAGTTTAGCTAGCTTACGTGCGTCTGAATCTGACAATCGGAATTTCTTATCTATTCGCTTATCCTAATCATGCTTGAGCAACAAAAAATCGCGAAGTCTATATATATTTTTGGAGGTTCACACGATTTTAAAAATATTCTTAATTACTATTACTGCCAGTATTGAATTATCAAAAGATGTTATAGAGCCTCATATCAGTTAAATATTAATCGTAATATTGTTGATGACGTAGCCTTGAGCATTGTTTACGCGCCGCGTTTAACGCGCGCGCTGTATGTATATACTGTATGTATATACGGCCGGTATTTACGAATCTTCCACGTGTTATTATTCTCTAATCGGCGTTCATAGGTGCAGGTAGCAGTGCGCGTCGCGTCCCTTCGTATTTTTTTTTATTGTTAAACAATACGTTGTAGCATCATCTGAATAATAGTAAATACTTATTAATTATGATTGATTAATGACATAAATGTATCGAAAAAAATGACTTCTTAACAAAATAGATATACATTTCGCGCGTCTTATTCCTTTTGAAATTTATGACTTTTTATAAATAATAACTCCTCTAAAGGGTATGGCCTTG